CATTCTCATTCAACCACCAGAGGGAGCTGCATCCCTGCTTCCCGCGGCTATGGACAACGGTTTATGGATTGAGGTTTTAAGCAATTGACTTATAAAGAAACGGTGACAGACGGAAGCTGCATTTTGTTCTGTTGTTCTCATGCAGCAGCAGAGGGCCTGGGGAAAGACAGCCGATATGAAATCACTCTAGCACTATACAATGCAATGTCACCTATTAGTATTGTGATACTCAATCTTGTGTGAGTCTCTAAACAATTTAAACAGGTGTTTGGAATTTCACTGGCCCACAGGTCTGAGACACAGACACTGATATTACGGAAACAGAACTTTTTGATGGTACTGATGTACATTTAAACGTTTCAAACTCTACTGTGGTGTGAAGTGGTTGTGTTCACATGCCATGGTGTCTATGAGGAAAAAAATATATTTTAGGTCTTTAATGAGAAAGAGCTTGTGGTACTGGATATTTAAACAAATACTTTTAAATTTACCCCTTATAAAAATTGTATCAGCATATTATTGAATTTTATCATAATGACCATTCTCATGTTTTGAAATAAACATTTATATACTTATTTGCATTATCTCATATTTTGAGCATAAAGTTGTTTTTCAAAAGATTGATATACTTATTTAACTGCAATATCTCATTTTCTGAGTTTTAAGCTGTTTTTAAAAATACAAAGCTTTGACGTTCTTAGAAAATTTAAAGAGCATACACTTTATGTATATAACCTTTAACTTGTCCTGAGTCACTTTGATGAATGTGGCCCCCATCAAACCCATTTAAAATCTATTAGTCCACTAATTTCATTGCATAAATGTTATTTTAATGTTTTTTGCGGACAGGGTGTCATCCAAAATTGTCAAGGCCACCTCCTACATGAGCGCAAGGACACAATTTTATGTGTAAAATGCCTAAATGTGTTGTCAGATAATATTAAGTGCATATTAAAGTGCATTTCTGCCAAATGTGCAACCTCACAGCCATTTCAACCTTTCAGTTCATCAAGAGTGCAAAACAGAGCAGCAGCCTCAACACTAGCTTTTATACTGGATGAGCTTAAATTGGTAAAGATTGGTGAAAAAATATTTAAAAGAAATAATACGATTAATTTAACAGCTAAAAATATGGAAATATTACCTGATGTATAATAGTTTACAGATACTTATGTCATAAAACACATTTTTTGTCCACGTTCATATCCTTAGAGAATAGTGTAAGAACGTAAAACAAGATGTCCTTCATGAGTAAAAACATTTTTTAAACTTCTGGTAAAATATATTTTACATAATGTAATATTGCCCACATTTATATAGAAATTATGTAGCTTTGATTTTAAGATGGATTTGTTTTCCTTTGGACATGCCCCCCCCACACACACACACCTGATTCTTGTTAGCGATTTAAACATCCAGCACAAAAAGGTGAAAATTTGCTCATGTTCTCTTTAGCACTGGTGAGAATTGTGGGAATTAAAAGAGCTGCATTTATATTTATTTGGGGGCACAGCTTTTGTAGTACGTCAGATCTCACAAGAGTGTTGCAAGGCCACTGGTTGCGCAACAGTCTATGGCAGTGTATAAGCAAGTAGTTTACAAGCTCAATGAGTTGTATAAAGCAGCTTTAAAGGGCCAACCTTTCTGCTGTACACTCTCATTATGCATATGTATTGCATGATAAAGGTGTAGCATTAACTCTAGATAAATGAAAATCTGTGGCAGCTCTAAAGCCAAGTCGACTTTCAAGACCAGTGATTATCTCTTGCAGTTTTAGGTGAAAAGAGATAAAGATGTGAGTATTTTGACAAAACGGTACTATGCAGACAAGTAATGCTGCACAGTGGAACGCAAGACGCAGTCTACAATCCAGAATACATCAGCAGTATTAAGTTATCTGTCTAGAATGAATGAATCTACACCCACTATAACAAAGTGTTACCATGAAGCACTTAAGCAATTGATTTATGTGGGACACTCTGTTAGCTTTCTATCAATTGCTTTGTTGCATTGTAACTTATTGAAGTCCATCTTATAAAGTGATCTACATTAGACAGTCAGTTAAGTGTAAGACTCCTCTAGGACACACCTTCGTTCTTGAGGCCACTTAGGAAGTTTAAGCACTACTCCATCTGGGGGGTATAATGGGCTTGTTTAACTTGTCATGTAATGACAGCTTTCAGCCACACAGAGGCACTTGAACCCATCCCAAGGCTCATGAATGTAGAGTGTGGGGTGGAGATACCTGCAGAGAATGACTTCGCATTAGGGATGCTTTAGTGTCTGAGATATGCTCTCATTTCCAATCATTTTACCTGAAAGATAGCCATCTTTGGATGCAAGTCATTTGTTATCTGTGTCTGCCCCACTTGTGTGTATATTTGCAAGTCAGTCACACTTAAGTCACCCCATGAAGCCGTGGCCCACATATCATGGCAGAGCAAATCATTGTTACACATTTCATCTGTATTGATTTATAGTTTGGTATTTCATATTACAGGGGAATGTTGTATTAACCACATAATCATAACAACATTAATACTCTTTTAAAATACCATTTACTACCTTATAATTGAGTGTGTGTATGAAACCTTACACAAGGGAGAATTGAAATTGATACCACAAAATATAATTCTTCAGTACAGATGAGCACTAACAGCGTGTGGGATGTTTGAAGAGGATGAGAGACAGAGAGAGAGAGGGATGGGAGTAGCATGCTGATAATTTAGTGCCGGTGCATCGACCAGACTGTATAAAGTAAAGATAATCGCACGGTGATAAAGCCAATCAATCACATGTTCTCTGCGCTCACACATGGTTGGATTCTCCTTGTAATAAAACAAACAATGGACTCTTTGTCAGGTGTCGGAGTGCACTGAATGGGTTGTAAAAGAAAAACAAAAATCAATGAGAGTCCAAACTAAGGATTGTGAGGGCTTTCATGGATGGGTGAACATGTCCACATTCAGACATCTACCTAACCTAGATGCTTTCATGCAACATATGTGAAGTGTGTGCTTACCTTACACTGCCTCAACCTGGAAGTCATTTACATGTGCATGCATGTAGTATGCTGCATGTGTGGGTGTGGGTGCACATAGTACATAACTGACTTTAACTTTTACATTTACTGTATCCTTATTATCTCTGACGGGGACCCATATATACATGTGTATATCTGAATGGAGATGGCTGGCCTTTTGCTCATACGAAGTAATTGGGTCAAATGTGTGAACAAAAGTCAGGAAGAATTTTAATCAAACTTAAGAATCCCCAATGTAACCCCCCCAGCAATCAATTACCAACCAACTGGGGTTAATAGTAAAGAGTGCTGATAATGCACTAACTCTGGTTATTTCTGCATCTCAGATGTACTGTAACTGTGACCAAATTCACCATATTGAGAGGAGTATGAGTAGCCTGTGGGAAGCAGTAAAGTGTTCATCCACCTCCACCTCACATGTTTCTCCCCCCCTCTCTCTCTCTATAGTGCTTTGTCTACTTGGTAAATAGGAGCCATGCTCTGTGAGTGATGAGTTTATTAGCTCCTGCCAGCTGTGACCAACCCTTGGGTATTATTGGCTGCGTGGCGGTGTCAGTGTGTGTGTGTGATTATGTCGGGGTGGGGATGGGGAACTTGAGGGGCGCAGAGGAGGGAGTCAGAGATGAGGGAGTACCCCATGAGAACCAGAGAAACTCCCTGGCAACTGGAGACAGGATCAACACTAAATGGGGCGCCCCCATTCATCTAGCACCAAGCAGCGACACAGAGCCAAATGACAGAGATTGAGAGCAAGGAGAGGGAGGGTGGTGCTCCTGTGCACAAATATCTGAATGAGTGTAAAACCCATTGGAGGCTGGTCAGCATGCGACTTCCTCCTGCTCTGCACACTTGCAAATTAGTCTGCAGATATTAACATACAGACTTGCAAGTGTCCCTGAACGCACAAAGCTCAACTATAAAAATGATTGATATGAGGAGATGAAAAATTGCAAAGAGAGAGAGGAAAACATGTGGGCGCTAAAGGGATGTTTAAGTTCACTTTTAAACCCCATTAAGAATTTATAACTGTGGGAGGAAAAGATATAGATCTGTTTCAGAGAATATCTTCAGCAACCACAAAAGTGCACATGTGCAAAAAAACACGCCACACACGCACTTGTGCAGCCGATTGTCTGATGTTAATTGCCGCAATGTCATTCATGATGAGTCAGTGAATCGCAGAGGTGTCTGTGAATGTGACTCTCAATGTGAACGTAGGGTTATTAAACGGTGTGTACGCGCGTGTCCTCGAGCTCAGCACCGGATCCTCCGGGAGGAATACAAATGCACCACAGTGGTCAGACGCCTGCCACACCCTTCTAGAGTAAACAAAGGCAGAGACATCCGAGCCACCAGCCCCAGGAAAGATGAAGCAGCTGAGGGTCAGACAAACGAACCTGCAGCACGAAGCGTATCTGATGGCGAGCCCTAATATTG